ATCCTAACTCTGGTTAGCAAGGGAGGAAGGACTGGATCTTTACAGTAGTCCCTTGGGTCCTGCCCCCACCCATCAACTGTCTATGGTAGGGGCCATATTAAGGACAATACATCATTATAGTATAAGTATTATCCAACTGTTCATGAGTGGGGGGAGGACCCCAATAGTCCTTATAAAATCTCCAACAAAGCAATATGGTAGCTTCCATCTTCTCTTCAATTCCTTCATTCCCTGCTAACCAGCAGCAATATCCCTGCAAATCCTCTAAATAACCCCATATAGCCGGAGCGTCCATTTCATGTTCCATTGTCTTATCCATTGAAGTCTCCATCATTTGGATAATATCCCTATATATCTTATATTATCTTATATCCCGATGGAATCCCTAAATCACCCAGACATGATGCAGCCGCTTCTTTTCCTCAAGCAATTTGCGGCGCGATGCACCGAACACCTGGCACAAATGCAGAACAGGCAGGATGCTGCTGCCCAGCAAGTAGAGTTTAGGCTTTGGGGTTGAGGGTTTAGGGTTTGAATTATAGGATTCAGGGTTTCGGGCTTGAATTTTCGGATTCAGGGTGTAGGGTTTAGGGTTTAGGGCTTAAATCTTAGGACGGAGGGTTGGGGATTTGGGTTAGGGAGTTTCTCCACCTGGGCGGTTGTTAGGGACCCCAATAGGTATGTGTATGGGGTCGTTGGGGCTTACACGCATTTGAGAAATACCTGTTTGAAAGAGCAGCGGCAGCAGCAGAAGCAGCGACACCTTCGCAAGTCTCGTGCAGTCGGGCACAGCTTCTTCAACCTGTAGGATTTAGGGTTTAGGCTTCTTAAACGGGACAAAGACATGCCATCTGTGCTCCAGAAAACATATACCATGCGGTCTCTGTGGGCATGCGAAACGACAAGAAAAACTGCCCTGGCCTTTGCCAACGAATCAAGCCCAAAAAACTAAACCAATCCATTCTGGGAGAACAGTAAGACCTTGCAAAAATTCGGTGAGCCCATGGACGAGTTGCAAAACTTGAGGCCTTCTCCACCGTGGAGAGCAGCCGCGAATCCAGAGACACGGAGCTGCACAGCAGTCGCCTTTGCGATCAAGGTAGCCAAAAATCAATTCATGTAGGGAGGGGGGTTAGGGTTTAGGGTTTAGGGTCTTTAGGTTGGGGGGAATAAATTAACCCTACACCCTGACTATGGGAATGCGCACATCACAGCCAAACATCAGAATTGATATGTAGTGTAGGGTTTAGGGTGTTAGGGTTGTAACCCCCATTTCCATGTCATGTTCCACTTTCTTTTCCATTTGATTCTCCATTATGGGGGTAATCATCCGTCTATGCTTCCTATATAATCCCTGTATAGCCCTATATCGTCCCTATATACCCCTATAGAAGCCCTATATCCCCAATACTGTAGGGTTAGCTCGGGCTTCAAATTCCTACCCGTATGGAAAATCAAATGGAAAGAACATGACATGAAACCCTAAACCCTAAACCTGGGAACTTGGGGGCTCTCTAGGGATGATCTAGGGATGCATCAACCACCACAATGGAGATCCAAATGGAAAGGAACATGGAAAACTAAATGGAAGGCTCCCAGTAGAGAAGATCCACCGTGATTCATAGGCCACTCTAAACTCTAGGTCATTGTGGATCTTACCCTAATAATGGAAAATGAAATGGAAACTAGGGTTCTGTAGTAGTTTATAACTTCTCTAAACCCCAAAGCCCGTCCGTAGCTTTGTAAGTCATGGACGTCTCATGTAGAGAACACCGCGGGCCCTAACCTGCCTGGCACTCCCTAAAGATAAAAGCCTAAACCCTCAACCCTGAATCCTAAACCCTAAATCCTGAACCTAAACCCTAAACCCTAAACTTTCCCCGGCTTGGCCTCCAAAGTTCGTCGGCAAGCTGCCTGCCACAGAGAATGCATGTGAGCCATAAGGGGGAATTCCTAGTATACCTTAGGTGGACCCCCCACCCAGTAATAGTGACTATAGGGGATAATAGAGATTGTATTAGGGTCCTCTTATATTCCTATTATACCACTATTACATGGTGAGGGGTCCTCCTAAAGTATACCTCTGGATAAACCCTTAATAGTCCCCTGTATGGTCCCTTCTATAACGCTCTTATAGAGTTTTAGATTATGGCTCATGTCGCGAAACGGATATGCAGCCCAAAAATGGAGAATCAAAGCTTGAAGTCATCCGCGGATATCCCTAAACCCTAGACCCTAAACCCTAAACCCTAAACCCTAATAACCCTAATCCCTAAACCCTAAACCCTAAACCCTATATCGCACCAGTTCACTTGAGAGCGCCTTTGGTCTGTCAAGCGGCCTTCATGAATTTCGTAAGCAATGCAGCTTGCGGAATCGTGAGGTTTGTCTTGGGTCATTCCCCCTCCCAGTGACTGTCCTTAAAGGGGCCTTATTAAGGGGTTTCTTATAACTCCTGTAACCCATTGTAATAACAGTTACTGTAAGGGGGAATGACCCCCCCCAGGTTTGTCTTAAAAAAATAAGTTATGGTTACCTTTTTGGGGGGCCCTATAATAATGGGTTTAGGGTTTGGGGTTTAAGGTTTAGGGTGCAGGGCCTTCTGCCTGAGCTTTCGCTAGCTGCAGGGGCTGGAACGGCTGGAAGGGCTGGAGGGGGTTGGGAGAAACTGCCACTTAATTGCATCACCATCCAAAAGACGTGCCTTATCAAGACAGATCACAGGTGAAGTTTAACAAAAACGTTAAAAAGAAGTTCAGCAAATTTGGGGTTCCTCTTAGGGGTACATATAACAAGACATGCAGTATCTTGGGGGGTCTATATGGGGGTTTCTCTATTTATGGAAGGGTTTGTTCTAGGCATGTAATCCCAGTTTCCGTTGCATTATACCCCACCTAGAGATGGATTTTTGAGGACCCCCCGGAAGACTATATCTGCGACATCAGCTAGGGACTGAATTTAGGTTGGAGGCGACCTATAGGGGACTACATAGGGTTTGGGGGGACCTATGAAGGGATATATTACAAATTTAGTCCAGGGCTCATAATATCATCCTTAACATTGTCCATGTTCTTTTCCATCTGATTCCCCAGTATCCCTACAGCCCTCCAGAAAAGGTGGCAACTCCCGGACTCGATGAAACCCTAAACCCCTAAACCCCTAAACCCTCAACCGCTAAACCCTCAACCCCTATAGTAGTTTCCATTTTGTTTTCCATTATCCCAATATAACCCCTATATAACCCCTATATAACCCCTATATAACTCCTAAACCCTCAACCCTCAGAAACTTCTACATAATCCCAGTTTCCATTTCATTTTCCATGTTCTTTCCCATTTGATTCTCCATTATTGGGGGTAGTATAAAGCCCAAACCTCACACCTTAAGCCCCAAACCCCCAAACCCAAAATAGTAGTTTCCATTCTCTTTTCCATTATTCCTATATAGCCCCAATATGTTCTTTCCATTTGATTCTCCATTAAACCCATGTGGCAGACCGACTGGCCTTGATTGGCCATCGACGCGGGTTCCACCTGGCCAATAAGGTTTAGGGTTTAGGGTTTTAGGGTTTTAGGGTTTAGGGTTTTAGGGGTTTAGGGGTTTAGGGGTTTAGGGGTTTAGGGGTGTAAGGATTAGGGATTTAGGGGTTTGGAGTCTAGGGCTTAGAATTCAAGGTTTTTGAAGCCTCAAATCCCCAATAAGGATGCTGATTCTGAGACCTGAATTGCTTGGTCAGATTCATTAGGAATTAAGGGCTCAAACATTGCTTCCAAAGCTACCCGTTACAGACCCTGCGTGGGAGGATCCTTCTTTAAATTAATGGAAGACTCCCTAGGATAATGGCAAGTGTGTTCAGGATCGTCACTTCCGTATCGTTCTTTATCTTTTGAACTCATTTGAAACCGATAAAACCTACTCGAAATTAGCTAAAACCTACAAGCCTAATTCAAACCATTTACATTTCATTCAAGAACCATTCAAGAACAATCAAAATCTAATGAGAACAAATAAATATGCTTAATGAATTTCTTAAATCGAACTAACAGTCCATTCACTATCCAATCGAAACTTATCAAAATCTACTTAAGACCAATAAGACCATGAAGACCATAGAAAGTAGATTTAAACAAATCTAAATGAATTAATATGAGTTCAAACCCATTTAAATCATAATTCAAAAGCAGCTCAAAATCACTGAAAATCTGTAGCACTTAGCGCTGATTTCGGGGTCTGGATCCCTAGAATAATGGGCCCTTGCTCTTTTCATAGGCGGAAGCGCCCCCCTTGCGATCAAGAGCGCGGATCAGGGAAATGGAACAGAAAATTGAAAGTTGTTGGCTTAGGGTGATTTGTGTGAAGATTGGTCTAGCATCGATGCGCCAAATAGGGTAAGATCCCTAAGGACAATCACAACAAACATGATAGGCACCAGAGGAGAAAAACAACGGAAGGACATGTCGCAGCCGCTTGCAAGCAAACCGCTTCCTAGCAAGCAACTGAGGATTCAGGATTCAGGGTCCATCCACTCAACAGCTCAAACAAAAGATCAAATCGCGCGAAGCGCACCACAACTTCTGCCTCAAGTCAGCCCCTTAGATGTTTATGTTGATGCGTTCCTCACTGCGCTTCGGAACAGGTCTGTGAAATGGTTCTCATCCGCAAGGCAGGAACACATCAATCTGGAACCAACAAGATCAAATCGTGCCAAGCACACCTCACACTCTGCCTCTAGTCAGCCCCTTAGATGTTTATGTTGATGCGTTCCTCACTGCGCTTCGGAACAGGTCTGTGAAATGGTTCTCATCCGTCAAGGCAGCAACACCTCAATCTGTCGCCAACAAGATCAAATCGTGCCAAGCACACCACACCTTCTGCCTCAGTTCAGGGGTGCATTAATGGCCGGCTTTCTGATGACGCTTACGATTTTTTCGACTGACCCCATGACAAAAGGCATTACAGCACTTATGGCAGGGCCGGCAAGTGACATAGGCCGGCAAAAATTACGATCGAACAGATGCTAGAATCTCCACAATCAAGTGCACTTTGATGCGGACAGAAGCCACAGACTGGACAATTGAAATGCTGGCCTACACTAGACTTACTGGTTCTTAGTAGGAAATAAGGGAATATACTATATAGGGACTTTATAGGGATCATATTCCCTTATTCCCTACCAAGAGCCAGTATGTAGCTCGTAAAGTCGGCAAAGGCGGCAGGTCGACATGAAGCGATCGCACTGGTGAATGAAACTGCAGTCGGGGCCAGCTGTCGTGATTCCATTCCATCCAGCCTTTTTCATTGGTTCCCCTACTACCCCCGTCTAAACTATCCACCCTAGGTTCCCCATTCATTAAAGTCATTTAAGGATACTTAGGGCTAATTAAGTTATTTAAGGGGGAACCTAGGGAGGTGGGTGGTACTATAGAAGGGGGTAGTAGGGGAACCCCAAACCCTAAACCCGAATCCCCTATACAACCCCCCCCTTTTAAGGAGTATAGAAGGGGGTAGTAGGGAAACGCATAACTTTTCTTGCTGCAGAGCCTAGATGGATTCAACGGCTCTGTGAGTTGCTCACACTGAGATACATGGGGGTTTCCCAAAACTAAAGGTACTTCAAAAGGGGGATTATAGGCATTATATAGGGGATATATAGGGTTTAGGGTTCCCACAATTAGGGGTACCTTTTTGGGGTTCCCATAATATAAAGGATTATAGTACTTGGGGGTCTATATTGGGGTCCCCCTATTTATAGAAGCTACACCATGCTCCCAGACAGCTCCTCGGACACGAACACGCTCTCTGTCTTTAGGGTTTAGGGTTTAGGATTTAGGGTTGAGGGTTTAGGGTTTAGGGTTTAGGGCACGGCTTAAGTCAGACAAGCGGCCAATATAAGCATCTCTGGGCGTCTCTTCCCTTGTCTTCAGCTCACATTGGAAGATGTCATGCCATGCTGTGCGCTGTGCGATAGATTCAAGAGGTGCAAACCCTAAACTCTAAACCCTATATATCCCCTATATAACCCCTATATACTCCCCATAATCCCCCCTTTAAAGATCCACGTGAGGCGCAGGCCCTTGCACAGGCAGCGATGACCGAGTTCCTCAGAACTGGAAAAACTGATGAGACTTGGTTGCTGCCAAGGAAGTTGTTTTAATTACTATAATATGGAAACCCCATTCTTTACGATATACCCAGGAGAGCGCATAATTGCACAGCGCAAACTGCCCCCGCTGTAGAGTGGGCTTTGGGTGCTTCAGGCTAATAAAAACGAATAACTATTTTCAACCCTAAACCCTGGACCCCAAACCTTAGACCCTAAACCCTCGCCCTAACCCCAAACCCCCTAAACCCTCAAACCCAAAACACTAAACTCTAAACCCAACCCTAAACCCAAACCCTAAACCCCATAGTAATTTCCATTTTCTTTTCCATTATCCCAATATAACCCGGCCCCTATATAACCCCTATATAACCCCCAAACCCTCAACCCTCAGAAACTTCTACATAATCCCAGTTTCCATTTCATTTTCCATTTTCTTTTCCATTTGGTTCTCCATTAAACCCATAACCCCAATATAACCCCAATATAATACACCCCAATATAAACCCCGTTACCCTGTAATATACTATAAAAGAATATACCATAATATACCATAATATACTATAATCGAATATACCACAATATACTATAATACAACCCCTAGCCCCGGTGGCTCAGACCGGCTGCACAAGCATCACGTCGACGCGGCCGGCTGCCTCCGCACGGCGGAGCCAGGACTCGGCAACCTTGCGGGTTTAGGGTTTAGGATTTGGGGTTTAGGGTTTAGGGTCTAGGGTTTAGGATTTAGGATTCAGGGTTTAGGGTTTAGGATTCAGCATCTCAAGTTCAAGCATTCTCTCCAAGAGCAGTTGTCCTAAGTCATAGAAAAATACCCACCCGCCCATTGGGTCCCCTAACATTCAGAAAATATTTTACTCTCAGCCTTCAAAATATTCCAACTTATGAAACGAAGCCCTTCCACCACACGTTCCTTTGTATAACTCTAAAGCCAGCACCCTATAACTTGAACCCTGAAGCCAGAACCCTAGAGCCAGAACACTATAACCAGAACCCTAGAGCCAGAACCCTAGAACCAGAATCCTACAACCAGAACCCTAGAACCAGAACCCTAGAGCCAGAACCCTATAACCAGAACCCTATAACCAGAACCCTAGAGCCAGAACCCTATAACCAGAACCCTATAATCAGAACCCGATAAACAGAACCCTA